AAGAGAAAAAAAAAAAAAAAAAAAATAAATAAATATTTATATTAGGGCTATAAAAATGGAGTGGAATGGATTTTTCCCATTTTTCTACCTTTGACGAGATCACATGGCAAATGTTCCAGAACTCATGAGTGTTAATGAGCAATGATGGCAGCATTTATCAGTATTTTACACCGGCAAGCAGAATAAATCCAGTCAGAATTTAGTTGATTGTATCCGATCTGTAATCTGCGATCTGAAGTGTTTTTGACCTTTTGTAAAATGCCTTTTATGTGCAATAACATGTTAGTAAAAAGCCATTTAACTAACATGTACTCTGCATGTCTGAAATGTTGGTAAATGAGAATATACTTTTTTTTCAGTTGTAGAGTACTTCGCTCAAGTGTTTGCCTGATTGCTTTTTTAACTTGAAAATATGGTTCATACGTGTAACACATGGCACAGACTGGAGATTGCAATAAACAATTGTGTATTAGCAGTGAGTTCAGAGTGTACATATATACATAATGTATGTGTGTGTAGTCACTTTAATAGTCACTTAATGTTCAGGCGTGTTTTGTGTTCTTTGTGGTGTACAGTAATTTAGAGAAAGGCTATATTTTGTACAGAAGCTCTGAATACATTGTAATTGTCATGACAGAAAAGGCTTGACTCGTTCCGTAAAACTGACTAGTGACACAATAAGTGCCTTATGTTTTGAATTTACATACATTTCCTGTAGATTAAGTGTTCTTATAACCTTTAAGCAGCTCATTTATTATTATTATTAATATTTTTGGATTTGTAAATAATATTTTTATTACCTCATTTAAAAAACATCTGTCCCCTAGACAAACGTTGAAAGAGAATTTTCCGCAGTTCACCCTTTGTTGGCATAAATGTGGCATTTTGGAATTAAACTCTTATCAGTGCTACTGATCAAACATGTTTATGTAAGGACCTTGAGAACAAACTCCATGCCCAATGTTAGAAATGGGTAAATATATTCTGCCTGAGGCCACTGTCTGCCCAGCTTTGTCTCTCTGCTTTCAGGGCCCGGGATGCCCAAGGAACCGAGAGGAGATGCCCAAGGGTGTGTAGGAGAGAGGGAACGCACCTCCCGTCCAGCCAGTAAAAATGCTAAAGACAAAAGCAACAGCGCTGCCCTTTTGGCCTCTAGAGCAAGAGCACACACCGAACAGAAAAAAAATGGACGTGATTCGCGCTTCTCGGAGAAAGACTCTGGTTACTCGGGTGAGTATCGATTGACACTCCTACTGTTATATTCACCAACTTAGAAACTCAGTTCACACTATTTTTACTATTATGACAAACAATACAGTTTTCTCAAAAGTGTATTAAGAACAACAATTGTCCCAGCATACAATATATACAAAACCACAAAGCAATCCCTGCACAGGTTTCTGTGAATGTCTGAATTTCTGATTTTCAGTCCCATTCAATTCAGTATATACTGTTTACAGTACTTTGTCATTGAATATATCTCACCTGGTAGTCGAATGTTGAGCAAAAGTTCTGGCAATTGGAACAACTCCAATACAATACATCCACAGAGCAGCAAGTATAATTCCACACCAATGGTGAGAGTAATCCAATAGGGCCTGGGTATACTTCTTTTTCCGCGCTCTGCTCAGTTTTGCACACAGCCAGGTCTGCACAGCTTTCAAAGTATACTCAAGCCTGGATGAGCGTGGATGGACGAGTTCAGCACATATGCAATATCACCTAGTGGACTTGTTCTGTCTCAACATTCACCTCGCGCCTGCGCTGTTGTACGCAGACACATAAAGGCCAAAGTATACTTTGGCTGTCTGTCTTGTGGGACGGTCCACGCACTGTCCTTGTGACGTCATTTTCGTCATCAGGGGTGTCCGAGGATGTCTGTGCATGCCGTCCACATGCAGCCCAATTTTGTTAGGATGGTGTGCTTAGGCAGTCAGGTTACGGCTTCAATGCAGGGGTTAATAATTTGGCAGGGAGTCGAATTTTTACCACAACACTGACACTAGTTCATTGAAGTCTGCAAAGTTAAATGAAGACTTGCTTGCTGTCAGGATGAACCTTTATGCAAAATGGATATACTTGCGTGAATTTGTAACATTTACAGGCGACAACCGTAAGATGTAGCTAAGTTGTACCCTGAGCAAAATGTGTCTTAAACACAATAAACAACACATGCATCTGACAGTAGGGCAAGCCATGTAGATTTATGATTTCGTTTCAAGCGCTTAATATAAAACAGGCAACTTGGATCATGCATTTTTCTGGCAGCTTCGCTATTCCTTTGTTATTTTTCAGATGTGTTTGCAACATCAAAATATACTGATATAAACATTATTGTTCCATCGTAGGGGGGAAACTGAGTTTAAAATTACGTTCCACACACAGAGAAGTTCTGCACACGTAGTGGTTAAAACAGCACTGGGTTCATTCGGTACATGTGTACCAAACTGAAAGACCCTTACAGAAATATTTTAGTAGGAACATGTGTACCATTACACCCCTAACACACACACTGCAAGTTTTGTGATCATTTCTACACCCTCGTATTGTTTCTTTATGACTCACTTTCTTCTGTAAAACATAAAAGGATATTTTTCATGCTCCTTTTTTATACAAAGAAAGTCATATTAAAGGGGTCATATGATGTTGCTAAAAAGAACATTATTTTGTGTATTTGGTGTAATGAAATGTGTTTAAGCGGTTTAAGGTTAAAAAAACACATTTTCAACATACTGTACATTATTGTTTCTCCTCTATGCCCCACCTTTCTGAAACGCGTCAGTTTTTTAATGACGAACGCGTCAAAGCTCATCGGTCTGAAAAGCAAGGTGTGCTGTGATTGGCCAGCTATCCAGTGCGTTATGATTGGCCGAATAACTCAAACGTGTGACAGAAATGTTACGCCCCTCACCATACTGTGATGATGCCCTGTCCGGCCGGAGCGATGATTCAAAAACATGAAAACCCATTATAAACGAGGCATTCGTTGCATCCAGTGGGGACAAAAAAACGTACTTACAGTCTTTGAGTCAGAACAGCCGGCATTGTAGTCTACTCTCCCAGGATCAGGAAATGGTCCTCCATAAAATGTGCTGCACACATCTGGATATTTGGGTTAAACTGTTCTGGAACAGTGTTGTAAATAGAACTTAACCACTGATTTCTAGTCGTGTCCATTTTTGGAAGGCCAAACAAAGTAGTTTCGCTTTCACAATGAAACAGCGTCACGGCCTAGAGTGGGCGCGGCCGGCGGATTCGACGAAGGAGCGTCCGGAGGGCTTGCGGCAACCACATGTAACGACCCCGGGCTGGACTCTGCTTCGTCCACAGTGAATGCCGATCCGGTGATCCACAGCGCAAAGTTGTTGTATTTCCTCAGCAACCAGCACGGATCAGCTCCAGGCATGACGAAGCAGATATCGTCCTCTTTTGGAAGGCCAAACAAAGTAGTTTCACTTTCACAACGAAACACACAACGCCTTCATGACATGGCGGCGGCAACAACAATACTACAGCGAGAATAAAAGTTACGCCTTCTTTCTTTGCGTGAACATTTGGGCAGCGTTATGCAAATCTTCCCACATCGTGACGTAGATATGTGGGGGCGTGTTAGAACGAGCCGTTTTAGGTAGGTGTGGCTGACTCTTAACTTTTATAAAGAATATCTCTTTGGATTTGAGACTTTAGTATTTGCAACTTTACAGATCTTCTTTATGCACCAAGAGCTTGTAACACTCCAAAGAGAAAGGAAAAATTGAAATCGCATCATATGACCTCTTTAAGTGTTTGCAACATCAGTGCTTGAAACTAGGAAAGTCATATTTGCTCCTAATATAGCTTTGCACCCAATCAGAAACAAAAGCTTCAATGAGGTCAAGCACTGATGTTGCGTGAAGGGCCCTAGTTCAAAGTCATCGTTCCAGTTAATCTCAGAGGTGTTCATTAGGTCACAGCATATTCAGAGAACACTTTTCTTGATTGCATTTTATGACAGTGCCAGGTTGATCTGAGTCTTTTGATATGCCTTATTCAACTGTTTGTTATGCACATGCAGCTGAAAGTGTCAAACGTCTTCATTAGAAGTATACTTCTGACCATAAAGTGTAGTTTTATGAGGCTTAAGTAACATCCGTGCCAAAACTTCAAGGTTCTGGCATTGAATGGTCCTTCATTTGACTTGTCATTACCGAGACTGCCATCCCTCTCGGTTTTGTATTTCTCTTTCTATGTTTCCCATCCTTCCTCTTGCCTTTTCCTTCCCTTTTTTCTGTTACATCCAATGTCCTTTCTCCTCCTACTGCTCTTTTTCTTTCTCAGACACTGGCTCAGACTCCTTGCAGACTGATGCAGATGACCAGCAGAGTAGTGTGAATGAGCCTCAGGTCCGCAGGGGTTTGGGTAGGGCAGATCAAGGCCCCCTACATGGAAGCCACATACTGGTGTCCGAGACGCCTGAACTCACCCCCATATTCATCATTAAGAATGTGGTGTTGAAGCAGGTGAGGCAATCCAGGTGGAAAGAGTAAGAGGCTCTGCTCCAAAACACTTACAAGACACTTACAAGGTTCCTTTTTTATTGTATTAAGAAAGTAGACAAGGCAGCTTATTATATTTTAAACCAAAGCCAAAGATAAAGTTAATTAGGCAGATGGCAGAGAAAATATGAGAAAGAGGTACAAAGAAAACAGAACGATGTGTGGCATTGATGTGAACGATGTGTGGTTAGAGGTGTCTGAAGGTCCTAAGTGCTTGTGATGAACACAAGAGTGGAAGCGAGTCACATAGACAACAACACATCCTATAAAATAAGATATTACTGTTAAATATGCTACAAAAGGAACATAATTTACTTGTGGTTTCTTGATGTAAAACTGCTCTATACAAGAAGTAATTCTGTCTCTTCCCCCTCTTTTTCTTTCTCCCAAGCCTGGGCAGTCTGGTCAGGACCACATCCTTCCTTCAGCTCTGTCATGGGATGGAGGTGCTACAAGCAGTCAGGCTCCCACCCATGTTCTCTTACTACATCAGCCTGGCATCAATCAAAGCGCCCCATTGCACATCCTCAAACCCCAGCCACAGAGATCCGAAAGCAAGGGTGTAAAGAAGAGCAAAAACACTTACCTCCCCATCCTAAACTCCTACCCTCGAATAGCACCTCACCCGAGTAAGAAAACCCCAGAGAAACCTGTGGCCAGTAGAGGAAGTAACACAGAGGAGCACAGCCTGAGTAAGAGAGTATGCACAGAGGAGAAGAGAGATGAGGTGTCCACAACCACGCGGGCGGCCAAGCAGCATCTGCACAAACAGCCAGAGAACAACTTGCTGTTACACTCTCAATCCCTCTCACAGTTGCTGTCTGCTGGCCATGAGACGCTTTCTGGCTCTCACCAGCACCAGAGCCCATGCCGCCCATCTAGTCCCTCTTCCTCCCTCAACGTGAGCTCTCCGTCAATCTCAAGCACACAGACTCTTTCCCCACCCTCTTCCAACGACCTCATCCAGCCCAGAAAAGGGCCCCATAAGCATTGCCCAGAACCGAATAGTGACTCTGGCAAAGAGTCGAACAACCTCAAAGGGACAGCACGGCACCGTCGCTTCCTCAACACAGTGGAGATTCTGAGCCAGTTGGGACTACTGGACATCACCTTAAGGACGCAGGATCTGCTGCGGCAAAATTCCGCAACCGAACGAGACATAGCCCAGCTACGTCAACATGCCCATCTGCTTTTCCAGGCTGCCCAAGCAGGTGCTGATGCTCCAGCTGCCTGGGAGAAGCTCCAACAGGTCATGGCTGAGTCTGGGCACTATCCCAGCCTCAAGTGCCTACCTACAGACAGCAGCAATGGAGGGTCTCAATCAAAGGTGGAAGTCAAGGCAGCCACCAGCACCAAACCTGATACTCCTGTGGTATATGGATATGGACTTAATGGGACTGAAGATGTGGCACCCCCATCTCCTCTTCTAGCTCCAATGCCAGATGCAGAATACCAGTCAACAGGTCACTATGATTCTATCAGTGATAGCACCACCACTTCTGAGCAAATCAGAGCCCATAGGGGAACCATGAGTCCACCAGATGATCCCATAATGCCTCCAGACAGCTCTACACATGGAAACCTGCTTTAGACTGCACCCAGAAACCTGCTGAGCACTGGGCGTTTACAGCAGAGAAACAGCAAGGGAGACTTCAAGATACTTTCCCGAACATCTCAAACATGATTTCAGAGATGTTATCATTGCCCCAATATTCAGTCGTCTCCATGGTAACTCAGGGCTATGCTCAAGGACAGCGTCTTGACTGCGCTACATGCCATCTTCCTGTCTGTCTCATTTCTATACTCATCTGCATCAGCAATCACCCAACGTGTCTGATGAGAGCTACACAGAATTTAATGCACATGCTACAGACGGCCACTCGTTAGTTTTGTCACTTACAATGCTATCTGCAACAGGTATCCTGCCCCATGGAATCAAGAAGCAACTTCAGGTTTTCAATGGCCGTTTGCAAATGTTTTTGATTGCAACACTTCATGAATAGTCGATCACAGAGTAATCAAAAATGACAGCCTATTTCCTACTTTATGTTGATTTATATCAGAGACTAGTTGAATAATTTCCATTTGCTGTCACAGGTTGTAGCATGTAGCGTTTCTGAAGAACATGACTGGGAATGTTATTTTGCAAAAATGTGGTAAAAATTAGTGATGAGATCCCCTCTGTGAGGCCTTGTCACTTAAAGAAAATAAAGATGGTGCATGAAGGTCCCGAAAAGTCCACACATGCAAAGACACTAAGAACTGTGTGAGAATTATTCTCACAGTGATCTTGGTAAAGTCCATGGAGCTTTTGTTCTTCTATGCAGTGCGCACTTCATTAATCTCATTGCATTGATCTGCTTGCTATACGTCTTCATCTTTGACCATGGACCAAGACACCCATTACTCAAGCCTTTGAGATGAAAGGTCAAATTTGAGTGTTTATGTGAGCTGTATTTCCCATTCATTTGATAACAGATCATGACGTCTATGAATTTGTGAATTTTCTTGTGTTAATAGTGTTTTGTGCCAGCCTTAATGTATTCTTCAACATCTTTACTTTTCTTTCCCAATTCTCTACTACTGCACCAAGCTTTTTGGCACATTTTTGATACTCTTGACATGGCACTAATGTATTATTTGTTGTTGCTGTGATATATTTCCTTTTATTTACTTACCGAGTATTTCTGTGTAACAGAAGTTGTGTATGAACGCAGTCACTGATTTGTGTCTAAAAAAGCCGTCAGGCCCACACAGAGATTTTGCAGAATTCTGCTGTCATTCACAAAATTGTGCACGTCATGATTGCATATTCGTTTATAAAATATTTTGGCTAAACTGATAAGGGTTTCGGAGTTTAGTACTTTATAGTTTAACACGTTTTATGTTTCAGTACAGGAGATTTTCAGATATTTTTCCCTAAAATAAATACAGAAAATGAGGAATGGTCTGCAGATTCCACTTGGGCCAGATTGTTTTATAACCTTAGAGTTCTTCTTTGTCACTGATTATTTCCCCTTCTTCATTAGCTCTTTAATTTTCTTGTTATAGATATTAATGGTGTGTTTGTACACAGCAATGATCTTAAGTCCAAATAAATGGCAAGTCCTGGACCTGCCAGAGACAGTGTGAGATTGGATGTTGAGCAGTCAGTAGTCATTACTTTAATACAGTCTCTGTTTGCCACATTTCACTATGTTTTCAATCCTCTTATAATACCACTAGTGTGGTTGAATGTTGCATTACCTGATTCTGCCACCTCTGCAATAGGGATGCCCTGCTCTTGGGCCATGAAGCCCAAGACGGAGAACACAGCAAAACCAGCCACAAAACTGGTGCAACTGTTCAGAAGGCAAAGCCACAAGCTGTCCCTGATAAACATTGATTATAAAAACACATCCACATAATTCATTGTCTAGCATTTGCTGGCTGAGCATCACATGAAGCAGTATACATATATTTCAAGAACATTTAGCTAATAGAAAATAACAAATATAGTTAATTCTTTAATTGTTGATTCATCCATTTGTTCATTCTTTGTTATTTTATTGAAAGCTCAAATACTAACCTGTAGCAGTTGTTGTTGTATTTATTGTAGCAGGCTAAAACAGTGAGAGTTCCAACAGACACAGTGTAGGAAAATAAGATCTGAGCTCCGGCCTCTACAGCAATTTCAATATATAATACTTTATAACAGAAAAAAAGGGAAACTTTTTGTGTTGCTAGTTACAGAAAAAAAAAACTTTTTTTTTTTTAAATGTTGAAATGAAGTAATATATTAAAAGTGTTAAATATGATGATATTTCAATGATTGAAAATGTGATCTACTCATTGGTATACTCTATATGTAGGCTATAAGCATAGGCGGAGGGTGAACCAACTCCAGGGTACAAGGCTAAAGCAGCCAAATGTATTAAACATCCTAAACCTGTCTTTTTAGGCAAGAACCAAACATGGGTGTCGGCTAAAAAAAGTTTAATTGGACTGAATTTGTATTTAACATGATTACAATTTAATAAAAACGTTAGAAATGGATAATTATATAACTTTCCTTTCCACGGTTATTCAAACAGCGAATAAATGATATATAGAAAGTGACATTATCACTAACATTGATCTATCGTGTTTAAGCACTAACAGAAAAACAAAACTATGTTATAATCACTGAAGCTGTATACACTGTTAAATGAATCTCTTAGTTACATTGTATGTATATCTGCGCTTTGTTGTTTATGATGAGAGAATTCGCAAGAGTTCGGAATTCAAACAGCCCCTAAAACGCTTGCATTGATTAAAGTAGGCTAATTGTTAATTAACTTTTAAACCTAAAATAAATCCACATTTATTACGATCGATTTTGACCTACCCAAGGCAAAATTGAAATGTATCAAATTTAAAGGGGACAATTAGATTTTGGTATTGTATAATTGTCATTTAATTTTCTAAAGATGTATTCCACTTATCATAAAGTGTTAACATTTGAATGACAAAATCAACAGTTCTCCATATACAGTAGGCTACACATACATAGGCTGAATAAAGATTGCTTGCATTGAATTTTCAGCATCATTACTCCAGTCTTCAGTGTCACATGATCCTTCAGAAATCATTCTAATATTCTGATTTGCTGCTCAAGAAACATTACTGATTATTATTATTATCAATATTTAAAGCAGTTGAGTGCAATTTTTTCAGGATTCTTTGACGAATAGAAAGATCCAAAGATCAGCATTTATCTGAAATAAAAAGCTTTTGTAAGATTATACACTATACCATTCAAACGCTTGGAATCAGTATATATATATATATATATATATATATATATTAGGGGGGGATTATAGAAATTAATACTTTTATTTAGCAAGGATGCTTTAAATTGATCAAAAGTGATGATAAAGACATTTATTATGTTACAAAAGATTTCTATTTCAGATAAATGCTGTTCTTCTGAACGTTCTATTCAT